TACACATATGACAGTCAAGAATAGCAAAACAAACACAATGGCAGAAATACAATGTCAGGCCAGGGGGTGGGGCTGGTGGGTGCCACACGCAAAGGGGGCTTCCTGAGTGAGCAGTACATCTTAGCTGTAGGAAGGGATACACCAAAAGTCTACTTCTTGAAACTCATGGGACTGGACACTTAAGATGAGTGTATCTTGGGAACTTGCAGATGGCGTAGCAGTTACATTGCTGGATTCCTGCACAGTCAACCACAGTTCAAGTCCTGGACCCGGTGGCTTAAAACTCATGCTGGGCACATGTGTGTGTATGTCCAAAATCCTGAGAGGAGACTGGAGGAGAATGGATTGGAGTGTGGCCATGCCCCCTTGGGGCTGAATTCTCACTTTCTGTCTGTCTTTTTGTTAAGTGCATGCGCCCTATAGCAAAAATCTATTTTAGAAAAAGAAAATAAAAACAAACACCGTGCACATGTGTGTGCATGCCCAAACTCCCAGGAGAATGGAGGAGAAGGGGTTGCAGCATGGTCACTCTCCCGGGGGGTAGGGGGTGACTTCTCACTTTCTGCCTTTCTGCCTCTCTCTGTCTCTCTGGCAAGTGCGCATGCCCTATAGCAAAAATCTCTTGAAAAAAAAAATGAGTGTATCTTATTATATGTACATTGTACCTCAAAAAAATGAAAGTTTGGAAAATAATTTTTAAATCACTCAAGGAGAAGTCAAGGATGTGGCTCAGCATGGAGGGTTAAGGGAGTCCTCTGTTAGTCCCAGAATGGCCTTAGCCAACTAGTCATCTGGCGAGACAAGATGCATTGTGGGAACTCATGGAAACAAAATGGACCAAGAAGGGCAACCCTTGGTTTCACGTTCTACTGTCACGAGAATTCGATTCTGTCCATCCACCCTTAAACATGCACATTCGAGGGGCCTGGTGGCCGCACGGCTATAACGCAAGGGGACCCAATGGGAAGGACCCTGGGCTCACGTCCCAGGATCTACTAGAACACGAGACTGGGCAGATCACAGTGCGGAGACCCCGTTGTGGGTGCCTATCTCTCTGCCCACCCCCTGCCTCCCTCTCTCAGCCCGCCTAGGTTTGGGGGAAGTGGCGCCAGCCTCCTGCCCACCCTGTGGTGAGCACCCCTTCTTCAGAGGCTGCCCGGGCCTCACCCTTGCTCATGTACTCCGTGACGATGTAGATGGGCTCCTCGGACACCACCGCGTACAGCTGCACCAGCTTCTCGTGCCTCAGTTTCTTCATGACCTGGGCCTCCTGCAGGAAGGCCTCTGGAGACATCGTGCCTGGCTTCAGGGTTTTGATGGCCACCCTAGTGGTGCCGTTCCAGGTCCCTGTGGGGGAGGGATGCAGGCAGCCTCAGTGCAGACCCTCCCATTCCTGTGGCACAGGAGCCCCTGGTCTGCCCGCCTGTCTGGCCCCTAGCCATGGCCATCTGCTGGCCCTCGTGGTGACACGGAAGCCTCCCCGCCCAGCCACATCTCCCCCGGGGTGGCCTTACCCATCCACACCTCTCCGAAGCAGCCCTGGCCTAGCTTGACCTCAAGCCGCAGCGACTCCCGCGGGATCTCCCAGGCGTCCTTGGCCAGGCCCTGCGTCTGCGGCTTGGACGTGGGGCACACAGTGGTCAGGCGGTGGCACAGGCCGTCAGCATGCTCTGCAGATGCAGGCAGAGTGGGGCTCAGGTGGGGTCCCTCCCGGGGTCTCCCCGAGCTGCAGTGCACAGCCCTACACACCACATGCACAGGTCTCGGGGCACAGTGCGACCCACCCCACCTGGCCCACAGCCGTGTGCATCTGCCCTCTGAGTCGCTCCTCCCTTCATCCACTTGTCCTTCTGACTTTAAGGGGTGCAAGGCAGGTCCAAGCGGAGAACAAGTCCACTGTCACCTGCCCTTGCAAGACCAGGAATGTATTAAATCAGGCAACAGCTGGTGGGCCTGATGGAGTGCTAGAAGGCTTCCTGGAGGAAGTGGAAACTAGGCTTGGATTTCAAGAAGGTGAGGGGTTAGCAAGAGAACAACACTCCAAGCGGAGGCCACAGCCTGTGAAAAGGCCCCAAGAGAACAGCTGCTGGGCTGAAGATGCCGACAGGAGGAGAGAGGGGCTGCAGGAGTGAACTGGGGCAAGAGTGGCACCAGGAAACGGCAGGAGACTGCTGAGTTCAGACCACCTAGGCCTCAGGCCTCAGGCTACAAGGGTCTTTCTCCTAAGGCTCCCAGGCAGCCCCTGGAGGACTCAACCGGGAGGGCAAGATTCGGAGCATGGTGGTGTTCCTCCAGGAAGCCGAAGGCCAGCTGAGAAGGGAGAAGAGTGAGGGAAGCCGGTACCCGTGCCCAGGCACAGGGTCATGACGCTGCACCCAAGGGGCAGCTCGAACTCCCAGGTGGGTGGGCCGCATACGGCACCCACAGCCGCCCCTGCACTAGCGCCAGCTCCCTCCGCCTCCTGCTCTCCCTCTCTGCTGTGATCATTGCAGCAGCCCCCTCCTCTCTCAGTAACCGGTTCAGACTGGTCCTAAGGCTGGGAGACAAATGACAGGAGCCAAGTTCCCTCCTTTCCAGCTCACTGGGGGCAGCCCCCTCCTCACTAGCCAGCTGCCAAGGAGGAGGGGAGAGTCATGGAACAGGGGAGCAGGAAGAGGTGGGAGGAGAGGGAGGAGGGGAGAGAGGATGGAGGCAGGGAAAGGAAGAGGGGGCTTGGAGGGCAGAGGAAGGGATAGGACGACCTAGAGCCATGGCATCCGCAGGAAAACAGGCCCCCAGCCGGGAAGGGCCGATGTCCCAGTGGGCCTGCAGAGCCCAGCCCCCCGCCCCCACACACACGGCGCTGCCAGCACTCACTGGAGTAGTAGGCCACGAGCTGCTGCAGGCTGTTGAACTGGGTGCGCGAGGTGATGTAGAAGCCGCCGCTGTCCAGCTTGCGGATCTTGTAGTGCTTCACGTTGAGGCCCTTGGCGTTGTCAAAGTCCGACACCGAGAGGCAGTAGGCGCCTGCAGGGCAGAGCAGGGCGGGGGCAGCCGTGACCACCGTGTGTTCTGGGCACAGTTCTGTGCTGCATGCCACCGGAAGGAGGAGGCCAGGGAAGGGGAGCCACTGGGGGAAAGGGATACCCACCAGAGCGCCCCACCATGCACCCTTGGCCCTGGCGAAACCTCAACCGAAGCTGTGTGGCCTTGACAAGTCATGTACCCTCCCTGGACCTTAGTGGAGAGTATCCCAAGGTGGGGGGTGTCTCAGGGCTGCTGGGAATATTCGACTAGACCCCAAATAAGAGGGCGTGGTACACAGGAGGTACTCAATAAATGCCTGTTGGGAACTGGGGAACAACCAGCGTGGCTATGTGTGCCCAGCCTAACTGCTTCCCCTCTCTGAGCCTGCCCCCGGGCACGGTCTGTGCCCCCACTCCTCCCTGAAGGCAGGTCTGGGCCCAGGCAGGAACACCTGGTTGGCTGAGGCTGTGGCACACACGGCCGGAGACCAGTGCTGGATACCAAGGCCAAGTGGGACCAGCCTCGGGTCCTTCTCTGCTTCCCTTGAGCCTCTAAAAGCTTTTGGCTTGGAAAGTTTCCCCCTGCCGGGCAGGCCTGGCTCGGAGCCTCTATTAAACCTGAGCTGAAGAAACCTCTGGGGTGGCATTGGAACGAGGCTGAGCCCCAAGGCGGGGCAGAGAAGAGGCCCTTCATAGGGTCTGGCCAAGCAGTGCGTGGGCATCATCCCCTGCGGCCCACAGACCGCCCCAGATAGTCCTCAGGTGGAGGCTGCAATCTGAGCACATGGTACGGAAAAGTGAGGCAGAGAGGAAAAGCACTGGACTGTGGCTGCCCAGCACGCCGCGCACAGAGCTGGGACCCAGCCCACACCGGGGTCGCTGCACCGGGCGGCCACCATGTTCTGCAGACAAAAACGCATGCAGGAGCCCCAGGCCTGACTGCATGTGCACACGCACAGCATGTCCACGCCCGTGGCTACATGCCCACAGGGGTACACACTCCCCAGCCCCACGGCCAAACCCACGGCAGATCACTCCCACACGGCGACGCAGACAACCCCCACCAGGGCACACACACATGCCTAGACCTGCACACAGCTTGTACACGTGAACATGGCCACTCCACTCTCATAAACGCACATGCGCAACACGGATGCTCTGCTCTCCCGTCTCCCTCCAAGCCCCAGGCCCGGCAGGCGCCCAGCTCGGTTACCATGGTGATGGGGCTGGCAACCCACTTACAGAGGGGCTGGACTGAAAGGGGCTGATCTTTCTCTGGCTTGGGGGAGGGACAGGAGAGAGGGGAGTGGCTTGAACTGGGGGGAAGGGCAAGGCGGGTCCCAGTACCTGGCACAGCCTGGGGAAAACTGAGGAGAGAGGAGGGCCCCACTGCATCGTCACCTGCCCTGGCAGCAAAACTCTTTGGCTGCAGGACACTCAGCCCTCCTGGCAGGCGCTGGCCACGCTGGCCATTCCTCACCCAAGGACAATGAGGCCAGGTAGGCTAAGCCTCCTCTTCATTGCACCTCTGGTCACCCCGGGTTACTCTGCTCCCAGGAGAACCTACCTGACTCTTATTTTACTATTTCCTAATGCTGTTCTCGGTCCATGGTGGAGCGCGTGTGCATGTACACGCATGGGACTGAGGCAAGACTGGCACCCTCCACAGGGCCTGGTCATGCCATGATCTCCCCTTCCTCCAGCCTCTAACCCAGCAGATCTTGCACAAGTCCAGCATGTTTCAGGCAGACCTGGCCAGGGATTCGAACCTCTGCTGCCATGTGGGATCCGGCTTCTCCTGAGCAGTGCATTACCACAGCAACCCCGAGCGCTCTCCCTGACTGCCCCTCCACTGGAAGGCTGACCTCTCTTCCCCACCCCTTACCGAACACCTATTCATTCTACAGTGCCCAGCTCAAACAGCCCATAAGAGACTCCACTGGCCAGCAGGCGTGTGTGTACCTTTCGTGGTCTCGCTTTCTCTTACTAGGAAGGTCCCTCTCGGGTTCTCTGCGTTGAGCAGTAACCGCTCTGACTCCCGTCTGGTGATCTTGCCGAAGTACCACCTGGGGTAGGAGGGAGGAGGGTGGTGGTGGCGATCCGGCTTCAGCAACCCAGACCACCTCCCATGGTGTGTGGCTGGGGCCCCGTCAGACCTCCCGCTCCAACCCAGAAGGACGCTGTGACCCACAGTGACCCTGAGCGGACAGTGGCGGGGACAGTACTCACTCCTCGGCCTGGATGGAGTCGGAGGGCGCCACATAGTTGCTGGGGATGTAGCCCGTCTGTCCGGTGCTGAGCGAGTGGGCCAGCCACCAGTCTCCCTCTCTGAGCGGGCAGGAGGAAGGGCAAAGGAGAAGCGGGCCGTCAGTGGCGAGCTGGCACCTGCAGTCTTCCTAGGCACCCAGAGGTCCCCCAGGCCGATGAGGCGCAGGGAGGCAGCAGGCCGGCTTAAGTCCTCACGCGCCCAGCGCTCCAGAGCTGGCCTGGCGCTCTGCCCCTTCCCGGCCCGATGCCTTTTTGCCAAAGCTGGCTCAGATGGGCTTAGTCCAGGACTGTGGCCAAACTGACCTTGGTCAGCCTGAGGCCCAAATCCACAGGGCCAGAGTCGGGACGGGAAGAATCTGCGTCCTTTCAGAAATACCAAGATATCTCAAGATGTCGAGAGCCACCATGGGAGTGAGGGAGGGAGCTCCCTGTCTCTGGGGACAAACACAGTGATAATGGGAGAGAAGCTGCTCGCCCGAGGTGGATGGCAAATGCAACCTTCAGCATCTCCCTAGCCCTGAGATCTGGAAGTCCGGTCCTGGTTGCTGTGAGACCTGACTGGAGGCAAGGGGTGGCCTTTTGGGGGCCAGTGACAAACCAGGCCCCAGCTCTGCAAACCTGAGCAACGCTTGCCTCTGTCATGAATCAGGGTCAGGCCTAAAGGGCTCCTCAGCTAAAAACTATGCCTCCTCCTAATGCCTACCCATCTGCAGGGGGAAACTGAGGCCAGGGAGGGTTGGGCCTTGCCCCAAGTCACAAAGTGAGTCATATCAGAGGGAGCCGAGGTCGCAGAGCCCCGGTGGCCGGGGCACCTCCACGGTAACTGCCCCAGGAGGGGGGGGGTGGCAGTCGGGTCCCCTGGGCCCAGGTGGGAGTCGGGGGTGGAAGTACCTTTGCAGCCATCGGAATGTGAACCAGGTCTGGCTGGAGCGGGGGTCCAAAGACACAGAGGAGGGAGGAGAAAGCGAGAGCCCAAGAGGAGAGAAGAGGCAGAGATGGGGGCGGTGAGAGGCAGAGTGGCAGAGGAGCGAGGGAGAGAGCAGGAGAGCGGGCGAGGCTGGGACAGGGACAGGGGACAGCCACAGAGGCCTTGCATCCAAGCAACCACAGGGGATAGGGAGTGGGTCCACAGGGGGTGACAGGGAGTCACGGGGCAGGGCAACCTGTGGACGAGGGTCTAGCCCTCCCCATTCCCACTGTACAGATGGGAAGGCTGAGGCCAGAGAAGCAAAGGCCTCTGCCCAGGGCCACACAGCCAGGCCTGGCTCCTGACTCCCAGATGAGAACCCGGCCCTCCACGAGCAGTGGTGCCTGAGAGCTTGCTGGGCCAGTCAAGGCTGCCTCTGGACCTCACCATGACCCTGAGAAGACGCACAGCAAGCAGGACGCCCCGCCCCCTCTGGGCCCAGAGGGAGAGGGGTCTCTGCCTGCAGTCACAGTCTGAACTTGAACCAGGTTCCCGGCTCCTGTTCCTCCAGCTGCCCCAGCCACGTCCGTCAGCCCATTTTAAAGATGGAGAAGTCAAGGCCAGGGGTGGGCAGAGCTGTGTGATCTCTGAGGACCTGTCTGAAGATAGGTGAGCACCCTAGACCCTAGGGCTCATCTGGGTGGGGGTCCTTCTGGCTGGAGCAAGGCCGGGGCCGTGGTAGCTGCAGGCACACTCCGGCAAGGGCGCCAGCGCACGGCCAGGCCACACCTCAAGGAAAGACACCTCAGTTGCCCAAATCTCCATCCACCTCCCTGTGTGTGCCCACCTGGGACAGTCCACCCTTATCTGTCCCATCGGACCCTCAAGACCACCTGCAAGGGAGGAAGGCAAAGCCCCAGCCCCCGGATGAGGAAACCGTGGCTCAGAGATGTCGAGGGATCAACCCAGAGACACACAGCACCCAGGCTAGAGTAGCCCAGCACGTTTACTGTAGAGCCGTGGAAATTGAGGCACAGAGAAGGGCAGAGACTTGTTCACAGCTACAAAGCAAGGGACTCAAGCCACAGGGAACAATTTCTGAGGGTTTTTTGGTCCAAAGCTCCATTTTATCAATGGGGAAAATGAGGCACAGGGAGGGCAATGATTGGCCCAGAGCCACACAATGAATCAATGGCAGAGCAAGGGCGAGAACCAGAGCCCCTGCGCGTCCCAGCCGGGCACAGCAGAGCCAGGGGGGCCTGGGGCCTCCTACTCTGAGTGGACAGGTGGAGAGAAGCACATGCCCAGGGGCCAAGCAGGGCTGGGCAGAAGACTCCAGCCAGCACAGCTCCCAGCCCCCCGACACCAGCCCCGTGTGGGTTCAGGGCTGCACAGTCTGGTTTGGGGGTTTGCTTCCACAAGGGTCAGGGAAAGCGATGCACCGCATTTCACGGAAGGATCCAGGGCCCACCTCCAGCCTGGCCTGGGGCTTTAGAGGCCTGAGAGCTCGACTCCCCAGACGCCATCCCAGCGCACCACTGCTCTGCGCGACCTCGGTTCCCCCACACCATGCCCCTCGTCTCAGTGTCCTCACCTGCAGGGCGGAACTACTCATGCTTCTCTCCAAGGATATAAATGCCAGCACCGGGCCAGTGCCACCTGCTGGCCCCTCTCCAGAACCTTTTATTTTTAAGAGGTTTTATCTTAGAACATGTGCACTCACAGGTGGTGATGGGAGACATAGATAGTGAGAGGGAAAGTGAGGAGTCATCTCCCAGGGGGATGGCCACGCCGCAATCCTTTCTCCTCCATTCTCCTCTCAGGATCTTGGGCACGCACGCACACGCGCCCAGACTGAGTTTTAAGCCACCGGGTCTGGGATTCGAACCGCAGTCAGCTGTGTGGGAGTCCAGCGACGCAGCTGCTACACTATCTGCTGACCCCTCCAAAACTTTCTTAAACACCGAGGCGGCACAGTGCAGTCTGCAACAAGGACTTGCTGTGGGACCTTGGGCAAGTACACCACCCTCTCCGGGTCTCAGTCTCCTCTTCTGTAAAAGGAGATGATGGGGCCCAGCAGGTAGCGTGGTGGGGCAGGTGCTGCACTCCCACACGGCCAACCCTCTCTCTGTCTCTTTCTGGCAAGCACATACACCCTATGGCAAAAGCCTAAAGAAAAAAGGAAAGGGCCAGCAGGTGGCATAGTAGTGATGGCACTGGACTACCACATGGCTGACCGTGGTTCGAGTCCTGGACCTGGTGCTTGAAACTCCGGGCACATAAGTGCGAGTGCCCAAAATCCTGAGAGGAGGATGGAGGAGAAAGGACTGCGGCATGGCCATTCCCCCTGGGGGCTGATTTCTCACTTTCTATCTCTGGCGAGCACACACGCCCTATAGCAAAAATCTCTCAAAAAAAAAAAAAAAAAAAAAAAAAAAAAAAAAAAAAGAAAAA